CGGGGAGCAGACCGAGGGGGGGAAAGAGGTGTGTATGGAGACTTGAAGGTCAAGCATGGTGGGCAGTCGCAAAAATAGCGAACCTTTTCATTTTTTCAAGGAAATCATAGCGTACATGTAAGGTAGGTACAGAAGAATGCCACGTCCATGTCAAAACAAATGCGCGTGTAGTGAGACCGGCCTCGAAAAAAAGAAAAACTACATTCTTTCGTGGCCTTGACGGCGTCGAATACGCGTCATCTACACGATACAGAACGTGCGTGAACGTAGACATTCTGCTGGGCTTGCACGCGGAACTGATGAGCATGCCACTGCGCGGACATGTGCATATATCAAGTAAATACCTGTCGGAAGTCTTCACAGCGAGCGGTCGCGACAGCCTTTACTGTTACTGCACTATGTCGAGGAAAACTGTTACAACGTACAAGTAGTCAGGCGCAGTTTACCATAGGTGCGACTGCGGCAACTAGCCTTCCGTAGACATAATACAGAAAGAAGAGATGGTACTCAGCAGAGAACATGAGCACAGAGTTGTAGCGGAGATAATTTGGCAGGCGAGACTGTAGTTGTTTTATTGTTCCGAACCCCGAAATTCCGGTACTCGGGGCCATTACTCCGGAGACCCTCGGAACCTGCTGTGTATTGCTTCTTGTTTTTTTGTTTTTGTTTTGTTGTTGAGATGAGACACAAGCGCGCTTTCGCCGATTGTGCTCACTCTCATCTAGCACTCATCCAAGCCTGACCAGGGAGTCAGTTGATACGAACATCTATCTACATTTCTCTTTCCAAAGCTCGCTCGGGCCTACCGATCTCACAGCAGTGTAGACCAACCTCTGTGATAGAGCGGTGACAGCAGTGTAACCTCTGTGGTAGACTACAAAGTCTACGAGCTACAGCGGCACCGCCACCTCCGCTGCTGCAAGACGCCACATTCTGTGAGGTTATGAGCCTCGCTTTACGCGAACACTAGGAGCTGCGGACGTCACGACGGAGGTCTACACATCCTACTGCTGTGGACTACAACATCCGTCGGTGGACTTTGAGCGGAAATCTGGATTCGGAGATTTGGGAGATCATCAACGGTCAGCGGAAACGAAAGTGAGCGCACTACTTGGTCATCTACACCAAGGGGCAGAAAGTTCATTATACACACACGTTACCACTGCTGCAACAGCAGTAGTGGGTACCTCTGTGGTGAACAAACAGCAAAGTGTTGCGCGGGAAGCCTCGACATAGACATTGAGCAAATACTTCTGCGGCGGAGACAGGAGGGAAGACTGTATCAACAGCGAAAGTCGACCGGGAACCGTAGTCCTATTCACCGACTCCCTAAGTGAGGAAAGGGTATCAGGAGCGGGGTCGCCAATTGGCCTACAATCGGAGTTCTATTCACCATTTTTCTATCTAGGCGGGAAAAGGGTTTCAGAAGCGGGGTCACGAATCGGCAACCGGAGTCCTCTATATCAATAGAAGGAGCGGGGCTGGAAAAATCTCAGCGACAGATTGCTGAGTAATACACCACCAAAATATTCAAGGCGAGATCATCAGGATAAAACCAGAAGTGGAAGCAACATCGTAAACTGGAGGCGGAGGCAGCATCTGGAGTGATGGATCCACAAACCTGGCCAACGTCATCAGAGGACTCCCCAAGTTCGATGGAACGAAACCAGAGGACTTCAACGACTGGATGAAGAAATTGGGTGTAGTCGTCGG